TAACACACAACACAGTCACACATCCAAACATACAAGTGTATAAAGTGAATGAGGCAACAAAGCAAGCTGCGCCTCGTCACCAACGTGCTGACGAACGACACTGTCGTCAGGGCGTATACGCGATGTTTTTTCTTGCAGCACACATACGCGCACACACATATCCATTTGCCATTATTTGCGCGTTCCACTTCATTTCACAGTTGTTTGTGACTTACGGCCGTTTCCTCTCCCCCTCATTCGCTTTCAATTACCCCACAGCTTTCCTTTTTTCACACACTCATAAGCTCGTTTGTATTAATTGCGTTTTAGTTTCGCAGCACACACACAAGCAAATACATATGCACATGCACATTTCAAGCGCGAGTCTGTTAGAAAATACACACGCACACGCAGGCGACAAGAGAAAACAAACAGCGACACCTTGAAGCTCTAGCCTCTAGCCAATTGCCAGCCGCACAACGCGACGTATGCGCAACTTGAAATGTGAACTGTGCTTTGAGTACCCCTGTGGTCTCGTCAATTTTAGTCGAGTTCTAAGTGTTTGCGCTTTGTTTATTCATTTCGTTGCTTTCTTTTGTTTTGGGAGCATTTTTTATACTGTGTTGTTTTTGTTAAAAATCAGAAATTACATGTGCAATTGGTTGTATGTATGTATGTATGTTATATACATATGTATGAGTTTAAGTGTGCGTTGGAATGATGTCATTTAATGCCTACGCAATAATAAGCACCCAAATTGCCAAAATCGCATTGGCTGACAGAAAGGCGTACAAATGTAAATACTTACATACATATGATACTTTTATTTATAATATACTAGCTATATACATACATATATAACACATATGAGGCGTTTGCTGTTGCCTTTTATGTTTGTATATAACGCAATGATACCAAGGAGTAAAGGCCCATCCAAATACCACTTTCGAAAAATTTTTATGTAAACGTACTCATACAAAAGCGTACGTCGAACTTTTCTGTCAAAACATATGTCTGACGCAAAGCGAAACAAAGTTCGATGTAAATTGGCCATAAGTTTGTTTGCTTAAAAATTGCTCAGCACAGCAGTTTTCGTATGAGCAACGCTTGCATAATTATCGCAAAACTCAGAAAATATGCTTCAAGAATTGCTATTTTGTAACTGCTTAGCGAAAAGGTCAAACAATGAAAGTGAAATTAATGCATACACATGTACATATGTATATTTTATTAAGAAAATATTTATCAATCTATTTTTCCACAAATGTGTTTGTAGTAACTTGCATATGCACATATGTACATACATACATATGAACTTTAGGCACATCACACTCTTTTTCAAATTATCAAATAAAGTTAAATGCTTAAATTTAATTTTTGAATCCATAAATAAATTTAAATTAACCGAAGCTATACTCTTTACAAATACAAAATATTCCTTACAGGAACTCGATTTTGATCGGTCAGTTTGTATGGCAGATATATGCTATCGATCTGAATAATTTCTTCGCCAAATTTCTTGAAGATATCTCGTGAAATAAAAAAGCTTTCCATACATTCTATAATGGTCCGATCACGGCGGTTCCGACAAATGAGCAGCTTCTTGGCGAGAAAAGGATGTGTTTGCAAAAAATCGACTCATCATCATGCTGATCATTTATATAGTACTTGTATGTATTTTGTACGGTCTCCGACGTTTTCTTCTAGGTGTTACAAACTTCGTGAAAAACTTAATATACCCTGTTCAGGATATAAAAAGTCAATTATGTACATATTATATAACGGGTGATCCAAGTAGAGGTACTTTTTTCAATAGCCTGTTTTTACCATATCAGGCGTGAGTCGTGTCAAGCTGTCATGTTATTTTTGTTCAGTATTCTTTGGCATTTCATGGAAAGACTTACGACTGAACAACGTTTACAAATCCTTCAACTTTATAACGAAAATCATGTTCTGTAAAGAATGTGTTTCGCGCGCTTCGCTCCACTTATGATGAGGCCCATTTCTGGCTCATTTCTGGCTCATTTGGGACGAAGAGCAACCTGAAGAGATTCAAAAGCTACCATTTCAAGAAAATCAACGGTTTGGTGTGGTTTATGGTCCATATTTCTTTAAAAATGATGCCGGTGAGAACGTAACCGTCAATGGCGACCGACTATTTGATGCCTGAAATTGAAACTCGTGATCTCGGCGACATTTGGTTTCAACAAGACGGCGCCACTTCCCACACATCGCATCAATCAATGGATTTATTGAGAGAAAACGTCGATGAGCAGATAATTTCACTTTTGGACCACCAAGATCGTGTGATATCACATCGTTAGACTTTTTCCTGTGAGGAAAGATTGAGGCCTGGGAGCAAAACATCACGCATGTCATTCGCCAGTTACCAGTCGAAATGCTCGAACGAGTCCACGAAAATTTAACTCAACGGATGGACCATCTGAAACGTAGCCGCGGCCAACATTGAAAAGAGCTTGAGTTTTTTCGATGTTATGTTTTTTTATTTGAAAAGTTGGGAACCTCGAAATGGATCACTTTATATATAAATGCACTTTTAACTATACATGTATGTATGGTACATACATAAATATGTATATACATATATTTAGAAGTAAAGCACAATTTTGTATGATTAAACTGTTTTTATACCTTTTTTGTTTCTAATATTTAAATTTTTGACACAAATCTTTATAATTTCTTTCAAGGTAAGTAACCCTTACTAAAATAAAAGAATGCCCAAATTTAATGCTGGCCTCTGCAGCGATGATTCCTCATACTAAATCATTCAAATGAAATTATTTTTATCTTCAATTCACTCAGAGCACGTGTTCGGAGAAAATATATGATTTTAGAGAAAAACAAACAGTTAGAAGTTAACTTCGACCCCTTCTGATCACTACACAATGCTAATTTGGAATAAAATCTAGACCTTTTGATATGAATTTGGCGTCTACTCGCTTCACACCCAAAACACCAACCAAAATGTGTAGGTCAATTCATACGTTGCTTGAGCCTATAGCTACAGCCTTTTCCGGTGTATTATCGTATTTATAATCATATTACAAACTGAGGTTGGATTTCTGTTCCTATGGGGAAAGTTCAAATTAATTTTTCTTTAATAGACCACCAACAATCTTCTAGCTTTAAGTACAGTAAAAAGAGCAATAACATTAATTAATATAAAAAAAAATTAAAAAAAAAGGTAGAAAAAATGTAAGTCATGCTATTGAATTAGCACAAAACTTAACTAAAATCAACTTCATTTTGTTTTTGTTTCTTCAAATATGGTAGCGAAGGTTTGTGATTTGAATAAGGCGGCTACACTTAAGGCTTCAAAAAATCGATTTTTTTTGTGCATAATTTAAATCTATATCTAATTACGAATACTCCGAATGAAGCATTTCATGGAAAACGTATTCCTTCGCGTTTTTCTGGAACCTCAAATGCACCCGCCTTTGCGCTTTCCAAACATCTAAGTGCGGCGCGGTCATCTTTCAATATGATTTCTCAAAAGTTGCATTTTTTACTCATTGTTGTATGATTTCTATAAGAAATATTGATCGAATTTGATTAATTTTGTCTTCAATTGTCCAGAACACACGTGGCTATGTTTCATCGAGTACGATTTTTCAAATTTTGATTTCTTCCATTTTTACAGCTTCTAATAGGTGAAAAATATTGATTTTATATAAAAAAATGCATATTATAAAGTTTTCAAAATGCTAAAAATCGGCTTTGGAGAAACATAGCCACATGTGTGAAAGCTAAAAATGATAAAGAAAAAATATCGCTTTTTTGATTACAGACATTTTTAATGGCGGAAGTGTGACTGCAATGAGAGCCATGTTTTTTTGAAGGTGACAAAGTTAAGGACCTCGAAAGGGCACGGGTTAATTTTTTTTAATTTCCAATAATATTTCATGAAAATGAAAGAATGTATTGATTAACAAAAAAAATTGTCTACTCAGACTTAAAGTGCAAATGTACAGGACCCCCTTAAACTGTCTGACAACTAAAAGTTGTCAAAAAAAAAAATAATCACTTATCTTAAACGTTAGCTAAAGACGTTGTTTTATAATTTCAAATATTGATTTGTTGTTGTTGCTGTAATGCTCCAATTTGTTTTCTCTAATTCGCTTTTGGCAATACGGTCAAGACCGTTCCAGCTACGTCGACTCTATTGGTATATAAACTTATCCCAACCTTAATATTGTTGTTGCGGAAAATTATTTTGAAGTATGCTAGCGAATTGACAGTAGATCCCACTGCTTTCAACATCGAAAGGGCATTTCAAGGTACCTCCCACTTTTCGAAGCGAATTTCCCATATTTACATACATACATTAAAGAAAAACAGGTCTCATTAGAAATCATGAGTTTATTAAATTTTAAATTACTGATAGTTACAAACTAAACGAATATTAAGCAGTGAAAAAATGTGTATACGTAATTAAATCAAAACTTATTTGTTTACCATACATACACTATTTATCGAGTACGGCAGACGAGTGCACCTAATGCATACATACAAGTATATACGTGTATGTGTGTGTACGAGTATATGCTGGGGGTTGAAGTGAGCACTTTCAACAGCTGTCGTAAAGTTAGCAAATTTTTGCCCTTCCGCCATAAACACTTTTGTGGCCTTCGCAGCTGCCAACAAGGAAGCAGACATTCGCAAACTGATACATACACACCAATACACGTGGTTACATTTCGAACCGAAGTGAATGGTTTCAGCCGAAATTCACAACATACCGCTAGTGCTAGTCATTTTGTCTTTTAAGTATTATTTCGTTCTAACTGCGATGAACTTAATTTAAGTATACGAAGAATGCATTGAAATCATTATAATTATATATTTTAAGCAAATAAATTGAGCATTTAATTATACTCCTCTTTAAAACAAAAAAATTAAAACTATGTATGCATTCTAGTTAAACTGCGCCAGGCTAAAGCGCTTGAGTAAGCTAAAATTAAGACGAACTTAGGAATATCATTTTAGTTTAATGAGTATAATATAAATGGTATGCATCGTAAGTGTGTCATAGAGGTATCACTCGCAGTGTAGCGCTCATCGTTGACTTTTTTGCTTTAAATAACTCAGAAGTGAGTGCAACATAAGATTAAGTAAATTTAATAAATTGTTTTATGCATTTATGAATTTGTTCATGGAATATCGTGGGCACTGTAAAAAAAAATGTATGTAAACTCAAATAATATCAGTAAAAGTGTGATTAAAATTAATTATGAATGTAGCTACTTGAGTCACGCTAAGTAGTAAATTAATTTTGAATGTATATATGCTCAACAACAGTTTCAACAGCTTAGAAATGTATTAAAAAGGTTTTCTCTGTTAACAGCTCAGGCGAGGTCCTTTAGTTGAATTATTATTTTGTGTTTTCGACAAACCTACACACTTATATGCGTATTTTATATTTAAAGACAGTACAGTTGCATACGATATGATATTTGTAACTATTTTATGTATAAATATATTATTTGAGAAATCTATATATCTAAAGGTGTCTTAACTAATTGTGTGTATGGGTATCTCTTACTCCTAGTTAACCGTTATAAAATTGTAAAATAATATTCTGCGTTTTTAGTTCCATTTGAAATGTGCAAGTCTTTAAATTTCTGTTTTTTGTCCCAACACAGTAAAAAAGCTCGATATTTTACGTTCACTCTTTGTGTTTTTATTTAGTGGTGCTGAGACCCCACCTACCAACGTCGTCGCATTTTCCTTTTCAGGCATCGGCTCTTCTGCCATACCCACATCGTCTTGCATTTGCATTGACACAGTTACGGATACCTGTTGCACACCCATCGATTGTGTGTGCTGCTGTGCCTGATGGGGTAAATGTGCTGGCATATCGATGTCAACGCCGTTCTTTAAAGCCGGCGATGTCCTGGGTGTTGATTTTCCACGTCTCTGCTTTTTTATTTCAGCAGTTTTCACAATAGCCGTTGTTGTTGTAGTCATGGTTGTTGCTGGTCTTGTGGGTGACAACTCTTCTTCATCTAAATCGTCAGTTTTTAAGCATTGCAATATTTGTTCTTGTATTTCATCAATTAACTGTTGTTCCTTTACAATTTCATCCACTGCAGCTGATTTTGCCTTTCGTTCGGTTTTCTTACGCTCGGGTTTTGTGTCGCCTCCATTATCGACATGTTCGCGTTGTATGTGAGTGCGCACATGTGCGCGAGAAGAGTAGCATCTTCCACAAATTTCACATTTAAATGGTCTTTCACCTGAAACAGCAAGCAAGAGAAGTTAATACGACATTAAATTATCTTTGTTTTGGTGAAATTAGAATTTGCCGAACTTACCTGTATGTGTACGATGGTGCACCTTGCGGTCAATATTACGCATAAAGCGTTTGTCGCAATAATCACATTTATAATTCTTTTCGCCCATGTGTGAACGACGATGCACAAGGAGATTCTGATTGGCTCGAAATGTTTTCTGGCAAATTTCACACACGAACGGCTTTTCGCCCGTATGGACACGCTTATGTATTTTCAAATCGGTGCTGCGCACAAAGGCTTTCGAACATTCGGTGCAAGGATAGCGTCGATCATTGGTGTGATGGCGTTGATGTAGCCTCAGGTCTTGTTTGGTAGCGACTGGCAAGCCACATGTTTCACATTTGTATGTTTTCACTTTGAGATGTCGCATTTTATGTTCAATTAGACGTCTTTTAATACGGAATGTTTTCCCACATTCTTCACAATTGAAAGGTTTCTCTCCTGTATGCAAACGCTTATGTTCAGCCAAACGTGTTGACTTACTGAACGATTTTGGACACTGATTGCAAGCATAGCGTAACTTTTGAGTCTCGGAGTAGCAAGTAGTACGCATGGCATGTGCAACAGGTTTACTGGTAACCACCTTTGCATCTATTGTCGATTCGAGGTCAACAGAAGTTTTAACTGAACATTCAGGAGGCGAAGATTTAGATTTGGTGTCAGTTTTAGACAATAAGACTGCCGGTTCATTTTCAACAGCAACAATTTTCTTTTTACGAGTTCTCTTGGCAGTCGGATTTGGATGGATTTTTATTTTTTTTGATATTTTTCCTTTTTGTTTTTTAATTTCAGCAGCGTTTATAGAAGCATTAGTCTCTGACACAACCTCTTCTAAGTTAGCGCTGAAAGCGGCGCTTACAACATCTTCCACTAAATGAGTCAAAGTTTTGACATCTGAGTCTGTAAAATCGGTTTCCATCGATGATACTTGGCTAATGGGCATCAAGTTGTTTTCAGTTAGTGTTGTAGATATAACCATTTCAGCTCGCTCTGCTACAGCGATAACTGCTGGAAGCAATTTAATTGCGCCATCGGTGTTACTTTCATCTTTGTTGTCAATTTTTTGTGAATTTACGTCTTTTGTTGCAGCAGGACGTTTCTTTGGCGGCGATCGTTTCGAAAAAACCTGCAATTTTTAATTATTATTTAAATACGCCTAGTACTTTTTTTTATTCTTCCATTTTTTAATGAGATTTCTGTACAATGATTTCAAATTTATGTAAACATAATTTATAGGTAATCAAATTTGATTATGTATACTTACCGACCGGCGCTTTCTTTTACGCTTAATAGCAGGTTTCTGTTCTTCATGGTTTCCATCTTCAACAGGTTCTCCACAAGTTTTATGCACATTTTCACAACTAAGCTCCTCAGTAGCATGCACCTGTTGCCCCGCTTTCGACTGCGCATGCTCCTCAACCCTTAGTGGCATTTCATTATCATCCACTTCTTCTATTGCATTTTCTGCTTCGCAAATTGCTTCATTCAAAACTTTTTCAATCACCACTTTTTTTTGGTTGGTTGTATTTAATATTGACACTTCCAATGCCTTGTCTTCCTCTGGGGGTGGCGTTTCTGGTACTTGCACTGAAACTGTTGCTGGCAAGATGTCATTATTGTCCACGTTTTGTGACACAGGTAGCACTACCATTACAGGCGAAGCTATCATTACTTCTATGCTAGCTTTTCGCTGTTTCTCAATTGCTATAGCAACTGCACTGATTTTAGGAAATGTGTCTCCTTCACCGCACGGCTCAACTTTAATTTCGCACTTTGGCAACACATCTATTTCTTTTACCGGGCCAGAGAACAGTTGATGTTGTTGCCGCAAATGTTTATGGAATAAGTCCAGTGTGGCATATTTGCACTCACAGTGACCACAAATTAGAAAAAGCTTTTTACCATTCAAAATAAATACATTCCCACATGATTCTAGTGTTGCATCAACAGGAATTGGTGACATAGAGTGTGCACTCGAACTATCATCACAAATCTCGTCATGGTTAGGCTTTATCTCCGTCTTTACTACCACCTTTAACTTGCTGTCATGCGCTTGCGTTTTACTTTCAGCCTGTTGCTTCGTTTGTGTGCGTGGACTTTTACGCGCCGTTATTATTGAGGTCACATCTTCCTCCTCCTGAAACAGTTCATGTGCATTATGCAAATGTTTTGCGAACGACGCCATATCGCCGTAACGTAAGTCGCAAAAGCTGCAATTAAATATAAGTTTTTGGTGCTTCTCGTACACATAAATATTTCCACAGGATTCTGTTTGACAGGAGGGCGTGACTAGGGATGATGCTACAGAGCAAGTAGAGGGAACGCGGTTTCGTAGTGGTCGCTTATTAGTTGCAGTAATATCATCATGTTCGGCTTCCGATTCAGCACTCGCACCTTTTTCTATATTTCTACAAGCAACTGTCTTTTTAAATGTAGAATCTGACTTTTCTTTTTGCTTTGGTACTTCACTCTGCCTCGAACATTTGCTATCAGTAATTGATGAGGCAGATGAGCAAGATGCTATTGAAGCTTTACTGCTAACACTAGCACAGCTTGAAACACTGCGCCCACGCAGTTTTTTCGTGGATTTAGTCTTTTTGCCAATTAATTCAGGGAAACGTATACGTTGCGCTTCCAACTCTGCTTCCTCGTCGCTGCTAATCGGTACTAATGTTTCATCATCATCATCTTCTTCAAGCAGATCCGTTTCAGAGTCATCCTCGTCAGTATCTTCATCGTCTTCCTCATCATTATCATCACCGCTACCATCTTCCTCAACGATTACATTTTTACCATTCATTTTCACAATTTTGTTTTTCTGTTTGCTATTGTTTTCTGCGTCTCCCTCGTCGCCATTATCCGCCGCTTCCAGTTTTATGGGTACATGCTCTAGCAGTGTGTTGATCATCATGTTAACGCTAATTTAACACACTCACCTACGTTTCCTCTGCTCTATTTTACTCCCTAGCTCTTATGTTATCATTAAATAGAAATTTTATATATTTTTACAAATTTTATAATTGTTTTTTAACGATTTTATTAACAAATTTAAGTCTATTCACTAATTTCTCGCACACAGCAATATATTCTACTGACGCCGCTTCTTTTCCACAAAGCTGTCAACTTTTTGCCTTGATTACTCTTTTGTTGTTGCTTCTCTTATCCACTCTGCTTTACTCACTATTCGCTGGTGCGCAGCTCATTTGTGCAAACGGCCCAACTCTATTATTAACATTTTTTGCAAACCTTTGTTATGCTCGTTTGCGCAATGCAAGGGTGAGCGAGATGGCTGTTGAGTATACAAACAACCGTTGAGTGATAAAATGAATTTGTGGTACGTACATTGTCGAAAGATTTTGGCAAATGAAATGAATGATCTGAACGATGGAATGAACGTACACAGAGGGCGCATTCGGTGAATATGTGAATATGAATATGGAAAAGATAACTCAAAAATTAACTGAAAGTGAACATACTAAATAAGAATTTATGAAGAAATTAAATAAACGCTCTCAAGCAAACAATTCATTTAATACATGCTTGTACAGACATATTTATAATTATATATATGTGTGTAATGTTTACATATCGACTATGCCTTCTTTATTTCACAACTTGGTTCTACCTGGCAGTTTGCTTGCAAAAAATTAGAATGGATTGCAAAATAAACCGGTTCATAACAAATACATACATACATATGTGCATGTGTATATGGATCATACGAGATTTTACTGAAATTCTGTACACCATACGCATAGTAGAGCAGAAAAACGTTAGTTGTCAATAGTGTTCAGTACGTAAGTCGTTAGCTAGTACAAATATTTATAATAGTATTGACTTGTTAAATTCAGGCGATGCCATATTACGTATACGCTCGGTATTACAATATTAAAAATAAATTACTGTATATATAAATTAAATTATAAATAAATAGTTAATTAAGCACTATTTAGCATCAAACAATCTTTGACCATACATATATAACTTAATTTATTGCTGTTTAGACAGTTGGGGAAAATAACACTACTCAACAAATCTGAAGGATAAATTTGGAACAGATGTGCTAAAAGGTCTGTAGGAGTATTTAAGGTGTCCTGATTACGAATTTGAGTTCCAAAATTTTCCATCACTTACAGCAACTTTTTTACACAAGTTTTGCCATGTTGCTTTATGTCGGCAACTCCCATAGTTGGACCAAACACTCAACGGTGGGTGTTCGGATATGAGGAATTTGACTGTAATATGTTTGAACAGATTTTATGAACATTAGACATAATATTTAGAAATTGGACGTGTAACTAATTTATCATAATAAACAAAATGATAGTAAAAGAAAATGTCTAACAAACTTTCGAGTGCGATTATCTAAGCAAACCTACTTTGGTACATATAGGTATAATATATATATATCATTACAATTAACTGTATTGTTGCATTTTGATTTGTTATTTCAATTAAATCTTAAGAAGTAGTCTTCTGTATTCATTACATAGTAGTTCCGCATTTGAAACATAGTCTGAGTCAAACACAGCCAAAATTAAAAAATTCGAATGAAAAAGACGGACAGTTAAACACATTGGTTACAAAGTCCCGTTGTGATTTTGACTAAATAAATTATGCGCTTATCTACATACATATGTATGTATGTATATGTGTATGTCACAAAGTTATAAAAGTTACAACCTGAGAAAATGAGAAAATGAAAAGGAACAGAAAATGATAGAAAGTTGATGTACATAGTACTTACCATAAGTGAATTTGTGTAGGAAGGAAAAGACATTCTTCGTATGCGAACAAGGCATAGTCACATGATAAATTAACTTCGAGGAAATTAGAATGTAATATTTTATAAATTTTAACATACTTAGTACCTCATTATGGTATATGATATCTTCGCCGACGGACACAACGGAATGTATGCATATTCGTATAAATTTAGCACGCACTTTTTAATAAAATATGAAGACTGGAAAAAGCATGGTGAATAAAATTGAGCTGTGGGGCTGTTTTGAGCTAGGCTTTGACCCCCCATATGATGTCTCAGAAAAAGATAATGATTGCTGCAGTATAGTAATGACTTGAAGCATGTGTCCTTTGATTTTACTTCTCAGTAGATTATTAATCTGATAAACTGTAAACTCAAACTTTCGACCTTCTTTAGAGATAACTATGCCCTGATGAAGACCTTCTTAGATATAGAGTAGAGGGCATATACCACATTATAGAAATCATACCAAAGTAAAGTAAAGAAGTCACTAAAAGTGGTCTCCACCTTCAAAAATAATACATTTTATCTAGAATTATTGGCCTTACGATGAATTTGCTTTCCATTTTCGATGGGCCTCCCCAGAAAGTAGGTGTCAAACTAGATATAAAACCACTGGTATTATATTTCACAACACTTAAACTTCCACATAAATTTTAAATTACAAAATATGAAACTAATATTTTGAAGCATATGATAAACTAGTGAAGAGACACAGATATTGATAGAAAATTTACTGAAATATACTATATTCACTACGAATACTGCGTAGAGATTTTAAACGAAAGCTAGCCACTGTCACTTTTCTCATCGGCAATACTAATATAAGCTCTTGTAAAAACAACCTTCACTTAAAGAGACTTCATGTTTTTAAAAATGCTCAAGACATTTTCCTCAGATGTATATGGGTATGCGTGTAATATTATATAAACACGATAGCCAGCACTTGAACGCGTGAGGTGCTTTCCTGTGTCGAGCTTTAAAAGTACGTTTGGGGCTAATTTCTACTGCATCCCCTAACGGTAAATATGTTTATTGACAGTATCACTGTATATATGTACATATAAATGTACATATGAGCGTGCTTTTCCAAGGTCGTTCAAATATAATATCTTATATTGAATGTGTATGAAGAAAACAGACCAAATATATACATGTTTATATATATGTGTGTGTGTCTTATTGCTTATATATTTTTTTGGTCCCCTTCAAAGAAATACTTGTGACCTTGGTATTGTGACTGTGGTGCGCGCGTATATGTGTATTCGAGTTCATTTTTTAATTTTTTTTTGTTTTTGCAAAGTTATTGCGTGTGTTGGCGTCGTTTTAGGTCTTCTCTATGTATATTTTCCTTGACGCACTTTCAAAATATTTAGTTGTGGCCAAGCTTATCAGCTTATCGTATGTAAAACGTGCTTACATTCACAGACGCATACATACATATTTGTATGTATTGCATAAATAATCCAGTATTCGAACTGTTTGTTGTTTTATTGGAAATAGTAAAGCTTAGAAGCACAGTTTAGTGTGGAAGCAGTGGATTTTGGTTTATGAAACCATTTCCAACGGTTCGATTTTTGAAGCTTTTTTTTCTTATCACATTTCCGCTCTCCATCACGTTGTATGTGTATTCCTACAAAATAACATTTATTGTTAAATACTGCTGCTTTAAAGACCTTTCCATTTGACCTCAGCCCGAAATCAGTGCGGTTATCAGTGAATCCATTGTAGTTTAATTTTCGGAAATTGGGTTCAATGGAATCTATTTGATACGAACTTCGGCGCCAAGTTCCACATATTCATGATTTTCTATTAAGTTTTTACTAACGTGCACAAATATTTACTGAAATGCAATAAATGTATAATTTTTGAAATATACCGATAATATTTTGAAACAAGTAAAAATTTTTGTTTAGTGAAATACAAAAGAATTCATAAAAAAAAACAAAATTCTGAAAATTCGTGGACTTTTTGGTTTGTGAATATATGTATAGTATTTATACAAATTTTTCGAAAAATTAAGTTTCGTTCGTAATCTTACTAAATAGTATAAATATGTCATTGCTTTAAATTAACTAACCCAATGTTACTTACCAATTAAATGTTTGAATGAAATTTTCATCCAAAATCTTTATTTTCGAAAACTATTTTTTATGAGTTTTTGAGCAAATTTTTACAATATCATAAAATTTACGTAGATCGAGTTCCTCGTACCTGTAAAGCTCTGAACGTATTTCTGCCATAAAAAATATAGTTTATAAGCTTTTTATACTCTTGCAACATGTTGCTACAGAGTATAATAGTTTTGTTCACCCAACGATTGTTTGTATCACCTAAAACTAATCGAAGATAGATATAGGGCTATATACATATGTATATAAATGATCAGGATGATAAGACGAGTTAAAATCCGACTGACATTCCATCCATCCGTCCGTTTATCTTAATCTTGATGAAACTTGGTACAAATGTTTTTTGGTAAAAAAGTACGGACGAGTTCGTAGATGGGCGTAATCGGATCACTTTCACGCTCACAAAACGCCATTAATCGAAAACATATAAAGCGTCATAACTAAGCCGTAAATTAAGATACAGAACTCAAATTTGGCACATCGAATCAAATTAAAGAGGGCAATTGTGGTTTGAAAATTCAAAAAAATGGGCGTGGCCATATAGTGCGAAAATGGGAAAATAAGATTACAACCACGCCTAATTCATATAAAACACATATTTAAATTCCACCTGATTCTTCCATTTTCCAGTATACAAATAAAGTACAAATTAATAAAACGGGATAAGACTTTGCACAAACAATGCCTTTAAAGTAGGCCAACTTATGACTGAAACTTGTTCAAATCGAACCAAAACTGTTCAAGCCGCTAGGTACTGAATATGTGGACCCCAGTACTTTTTTTACCGAAAAAGTTTTATCAAAATGTGTGATATTTTAATGAAATTAAATGGTCAAGTTTTCTTAAAAATTATTTAGTTTTGGAATTGGTCTTTTATACAGCAATGTCAGTTTCAAATCATTCCTATGAGAAAGCACCATTAGATCTAAGAAAAGTTAAATGGCTGGATAATTAGTGTAAGGACTCGGAACTTGGCTAGTTATTAATAAGTGATTAGCTAATTACCACACAGGAAATATTATCACCGAAATAGATCCACTTCAATTCTCTGAAAAAGACTGAAACGGACTAAACCATAACAAATTCGAACTAAGCCCTTAAAAGAAAAAGCAAATTAATAAAAACAACTTCGAAATTATTTTGGCATTCATTGTTCACTGTCCCAGAAACATTTTCTTGTTTTCTAACTTCAAAAAAATATTTGAAAGTAATAAATTTACGGACAAGGAAGAGGTAATTGCCTGAGGTCTATCCTTAGCAAAAGCTGAATCTAGTATGACAAAAATGGTATAGAATAGAGAGATCGGTGTATAGTCCTCGATTAAATCTGTAATGAGCAATAGAACCGATTTTGGCTAAAATTATGTTTATTTTTCTAAAAATAATACGGACTTTTTTGTATGTATAGTCTAAAGTAGACACGTAAAATTTTCGAAGTATTATGAGATAGGTTCCTCTAAAGGTTTTAAAAAAAAATTTCCAGCGGTTCGAATGGAATTTTAAATTTGCAAAGCAAGGTGTACAAAAGTTTAGGGACGATATAACTCAAATTGTATATATCTAAATATACTTATACATATATTGGCAATTGTAATTTATAAAGTGGAAATTCTTTAAACTCTCCTACTTTCTGACCTAAAAGTCAGCACCCTCCCCGAAGCATGCCCACAACACGCATTTTTTTGATTAAATTTCACTTGCATTTGAGTGTGAGACGAAAATCATCCCTGCAATTGCAGACATTTTGTAACACTCAAATACTCCCAAGTCAAAAGTTCTTTTTTATAATTTAACAAGAGGACTGCGCTTTTCCTGCACGCTAAATTAAAGCAATTCTTTGCCAGTAATCCGGCATGCGATTGTTGGGAAACCCCCATTAATAAGGAATTCCCTTGCGCCTGGCATGGATGACTCATTCTTAATTCGCAGTGAACAATGAATTAAAAAACAGTGAAATAAAAATAAAAAAGATGCTACAACTTCCATGTTTTACAAACCTTGTGCAAACGTTAACGGTATTTTGGCTCGTTTTGGGAGATTAGTTTCACGCTGACTTTGCCATCTAGCATACATTGCGGCGTATAAGCGCGCATATTTCACGGTATTGCAGTGTTTTTGAGGGTGTGCGTTGGTACGGCAGGTGTCGGCCGGGTGACGGACGGGGAGACGCGTGGTTGGCGGCATGTAATGGTTAAGAACAAGCAACTCCAAAACTCATTGTGTCTGCTTCGTTTCACATCCTTTTGTTTGTTTTACGCATTCAATTGATTGGGAACAACATGACTGTCTCCTTTCGGAAAGCCCCACGTTTTTTAAGAGTGCTGCCGGAGGTGAGAAGTAACACCATAGCATAAGGCGCAATTGTACTTACATATTCGAGGAATATACGAGTATATGTATGTAATTGTGTTCGGATGCTACGGGCTGTCGTATGGCACTTTTTTGCGTCAACCCCATGGGGTATTGGAGTGAGGGTCGTTGGAAATTGATGATATTCTAAATTTTACATTTATTACTATTTTTATTGGGACGTGCGCACCATGCTGCGTTAACTTAAGGGGGAAGTAGTTATGAAAAAACAAAACCTATGAAAACCAAACTAAGTACCACTAAATATGTGAATGCATATATAATATAAAGGGGAAGACGGAGGTTTGGAGCTTCGAAAACGTGAAATTTAGCAATTGACAGCGATCATCTGGTAAGCTTTAAAATAATAATTAATATTTTATTACTAAAAAAAAGTTGTATATTTAGTTCTAACGGTTTTTAATTTACTTCAAGTAATATTCAGAATTTAAATAAATATATTTATATATATATAATAATATATTTATATGCCAGTATGTCCCAGTCCTTTATGTTCAAATGTATTTCTATAACAAGAAAAAACGTTAACTTCGGTTGCTATAATACCCTTCACAAATACAAAGGCCCCTTACAAGAACTTTATTCCGATCGTTCAATTTGTATGGCAGCTATATGATATAGTGATCTGATCTGAACAATTTCTGCGGAGAATACATTGTTGCCATAGACAATAACTCGTGCTTAATTTCGTGAAGATACCTCGTCGAATAAAAAAGTTTTCCATGCAAGCACTTTACTCCCATCGTTCAGTTAATATGGCAGCTATGTGATATAGTCATACGATCTATACAATTTCTCCGGAGATTGCATTATTGCTTTAAATAATAATCCATGCCAAATTTCATGAAGATACCTAGTCAAATTAAAGAGTTTTGCATACAAGCACTTGATTTCGATTGTTCAGTTTGTATGTCAGCTATATGCTATAGTGATTCGATATCAGCCGTTCCGACAAATGAGCAGCTTAGTGAGAAAAGGACAGGTGCAAAATTTCAGATCGATAGCTTAACAACTGAGGGACTCTTATGTATATATATAGACATACGGACGGACAGACGCTCATCATGCTGGTCATTTATGTATACATTTTATAGGGTCTCCGACGTTTCCTTCTGGGTGTTACAAACTTCGTGGCAAACTTAATATACCCTGTTCAGGGTATAAAAGAGGGTGTATTGTATCTCTCTTCCTTTTCGATTAATCTTCAGTTGACTTTTTTAATTATAGGATTGACTTATAGCAAATATCATTTTGAAGCATTAAAAAGGCAATCGGCGTTCCACCCTTTCATTTTCTAGCAACATATTATTAAAATGATTTGAAGGGTGGAGTTTCATTAGTGTCTGCCCGGAAAGGCGGTTAGTTGTATGATATTTAAATATTGGCAAAAAAATTACTCCTAACTAACCTAACTCTAAGGCGAATGATGTGACTTCGAAAAGGAAAACGCCTGAGTCAGCTGCGATTTAGCAATCTTTATTTCGAAAATTTTCATTTGTAACATCTTAAAATTAGGTGGGACTCTGTAAAAAGAGGAAATCCTACAATGAAAATTACTAGATCTCATGTTTGCTGATTTTGTCCATTCTGAACCAAATGGAAATTTTTTTCAGAATTTTGGAGGAATAGGCGAATACTTACTAAGACTAAGTTTAGGCTTTTGAGAGATATATAACAGTATCTTTCTATGGTGAACATTCACAAAAGCCCCAATCGGTCGGACACTGCTATATCAGAGAATGTTAATGAACATGAACATTCATTAACATTCTCTGGCTATATGCTTGTTTCATGTTATTATTTTACACTGCTATCTATTGGTTGTGGCCATAACTTCCATGAACCCAAAAAGTAGCTTATATAATACAGTAATCATATATCTATTATCATTACAGATAGAACAAATCCCGAACCCGTGGAGATATGTCGTCACTTCCCGCCAGATTACGAGGTGGAATCTCTTCCATCTTATACCATTGTCTCAGGGCTGCCAACTTATGATGACGCTTTGGAAGAATTTCGAAAAGCGGGCATTATTCTAACTTCACCCATGCCAGTGGTGAAGATATTTGAGAAAGATCCAGCGGTCGCTGGCAACTCGGGCAAAGAGAATCAAATCTTCAATATGGAAAACGGCGTGAGCCCCGACAACGACAACGTCTCGGTCACTTCGACGTGCACTTGTGGAGCGGCGAACAATACAAACTCTAATAATCCAAACTCGATATACACTGTGCCCTCGGCACTTGCACCACAAGTCATCGAACTATCACCCGAACAATTGGCGGCCCTGTCACAAAAACGCCTTTCGTTACAAATCACCTTCAACAATTCCGTGCGTCGCAATTCCCGGCCCCGTGGTATCGATCTCTATCGCCAGGTGAATCGGAATAATTTGCTGCGCTCACAAGCTGTTGCTGCCGCCGCCGCTGCCCGCGATGGATTCCCACAAATTCACCGCTCCTCGTCGACACTAGCTTTGTCCAATGAGCCGAATATGTTGGATCGACACCTGATGCAACACCTGCAACACCGGGGCTCTCTCTATTAAGCATATGAGAAAAACTGCATTCGTCGCCAAGAATATACCATTATTAACTATTCTTATACGAATATACTTGATGATTCATTATTGAACTACAATATTTAATATACTTACTCGTGTACATACACGTTAATATGTTAAATGTAAAAAATTTTCTTACAATTAGTATTTTAAATGTAGGTATGTATATTTAGTTGGAACTGTAATAACATATGCACATAAGTATGTAGATGTAATACTGTAAAAACTCAGTTAATAAAAATATATATACATGTATATAATTATATAAATACTCATATGTATCACTAATTTTAATTGGAAGCCTATATCTCTCAAAACTCTTCCTGAGAATCAGCTGGAGTTTCATTCCACTTGGACCAAACTTTTCGGTTGAACGTATTTCGTTTTTAAATTGTGGACAAAAAAGGGATCTATCCAAGATCGAAGAACAATAAAAGCGATGAACTTTCCCAGATGCATTTATATCAAAGAAAACCAAGGAGAAACTGTCCGCAACATTTTAGTTTCGAAATTCCCAAATATAAGCTCTTAAACTAAGTTTTATGAAAAATTCTTAATTGTTTTTTGCGCGTTTTATGACGTGAAACGTATGGATCGCCAAAAGTTATTAAGAAAATTTAAGCAAATACTATTATCCTCAATTTAACACGTATAAATAAAGACGGAAGAAAAGAGCCAAGAACAAGTATAAATAAATAAAAACCTAGTTCCCTAGAAAATTTGAATTATTGAACCATTTTGTGTTTAAAAAGGGAGTTACAGTTACAACATAACCGATTTTGAGTATCAAGAATACGCCGATTTTTGGTGTGCACCTGTGTTGTGTATTAATCGAGCAAAGGGGTTCTCCAATTCCAGCTCGAACCTGCGAACGACTCCTAAACATTAAATTCAATTAAAAATATAATAAGTATTAGCAATTACATTTGTAGATACTAACAAATAAGGAAAGGCTAAGTTCTGATCAACCGAACATTTTATAATCTTGCAACTTGCAATGGTCAAAGCCGGGGAAATACCTTCAGGTGTTGGCAAAACTGCATATATAAAATGTTCGCCGAAATCGTGAATGAATTACAATCAAATTTGATATCATATTAATTTATTTGAAAGGCATAGACTCACTTAGTTTTATTACTATATTTTACTTCCCTTCAGCGAAAATTATACTAAAATCATTCTCAAATGGCATATATGTAATACAGATAAGCTCAACCGAAGAGGCTAAAATTTATATAATATATTGAGTTGATGTTAAAAACATCAACCAAATCTTCGGAATTCATTATATTGGGGATATAAGGTTTTGACCAAGATCGATTTAATTTTTAATGAAGGCCAAATCATTGATATAATTTTATAACTTTTAAGAAAACTTGTTCACTTAATTACATTATAATTTCCTACATTTTGACCAACATAAACGGTTTTAAGTCAGGTGGAAAGTCGGAAATTATTATATAGCAGAGATAATTTTTGACATTGCTCGAGTATACTTAAGAACTTATTTTCAAGCAATTTTATAAATATTTATAAACTTATATTATATATGGATGCTTCAAAATCCGGAATGGCAGTTATACGGTTACTAACGCAAGTTTTCGCCTAGTTTTATCCATTTTTGGCACAGAGGTATACTGTTATTAGAAAAGCACGCTCTCTCCATTTCATTAATAATTGGCCGATATGTGTGGACTCGAAGGCTGAGGGTTAAGGGTAGTATTGATCCGATTCAACCCATTTTTGACACAAGGGTATATAATTAACAAAGAAACCTTTTTCCTAAATTTCAATTATATAGCTCACACATTGACCTATATTTTCGGCAAAAAGTAAGCCATAGGCTGTGGGGTCCATATTTCCAGCATTTTAGGGACTTGAATAGTTTTCGTCCGATTTGTACAATTTTTAGTCTTAGGTGGTGATTGGTTCTTGATTTGCATACTGGAAAGTGAAAGAATCAGATGGAATTTAAAAATTTTGTTCTGTGGGAAGAAGGCGTGGTTTTTAACCAATTTCGCACGGTAATGCAGGTGTATAAACTCAATGAAGATTCCTAAATGTGACAGAAAATACTTTATATAGCTGAGATTATTTTCATTATAGTTTTATTTTACTAAATTCATCGCTTATATACTATTGACAAATCTTACTTATCTAATTAAATATTTATGAATGTTTGTATGCCTGTTCAATCTATTTGAACCAGAGAATGTAAATGAATAGAGAAGGAGCAAATGTTAAATGAAATCTTTTTGAGTACTAATTTGTAATTCCAGATGAGGGAACATCGAAAAATATAACTTCGAAAAAGAAAAATACACCACGCAATATGCGAAATGCTATAAATAGACACAACGAATATTCTTAAATGAAAAATCGTTGCACTTTTGAGGTGTCGGTGGTCGTAAGCGGGAAGGGGTTAAGCTTGCCTTCGTTCAACTTGCTTCTCGCAAAAAGCAAAAAGTGTGTACAAAAGTCATTGCTTGTGCGGGGCAAGAAGAAGCAAGCATCAGCGTACGTGTATTTAAGAATGTATGTGTGATTATCACATTTTTGTAAATACGCATAAGGAAATATTCAATAAACCTAATCATATGAACATATGTATTTTCCTGATATATTTTAATTATATCAGGAAGTAAAATATGCTATTAAAGAAATTGAATTATGATATGCTTAGATTCCAATTAATAAAATAAAAAAATTAAATACAATTTCAGTTTCATGACTTTTAGGATTCGAACGTATAGGTTCGTATTCGGATTGTGCTTAACCCCTTCCCGCTTACGACCTCCGACACCTCAAAAATGTAAACATGGTCGCTTAGCCACCGTTTTGTTGTTATCCTTTGCTCAATAAGCAATTGCTCACGCAACGCACATACATAAGTTGGAAAAATAGCCTATTAAATGTTTATTTTATTATGAATTCTGGGGTTTTTACCGGTAATACAGATTTTTAATTCAGAAGGCTTTTCATAATGGTAAATTTTGTCATATCATAGAAATTGAAAACATAAATCTAAATAAGTATGCGCAACGATTTTTCATTTAGGAATATTCGTTGTGTCTATTTATAGCATTTCACACATTGCGTGGTGTATTTTTCTTTTTCGAAGTTATATTTTTCGATGTTCGCTCATCTGGAATTACAAATTAGTACTCAAAAAGATTTCATTTAACATTTGCTCCTTCTCTATTCATTTACGTTCTCTGATAAAATCCTACAAATTGTTCGCTGTCGAACCTGCACCTTCTCGTTGTTTTAAGTTCTCTGGTAGGATCCGATATCTGCCGAAAAATAAACGAACGAAAAACATAAAATAAGTTTTAAGTGTATTTTCATAACAAGTTGATTCCGCATTCGAAAAACATTTTCCATTTTATGAATTATAAATTTCAATTAAAAACTCGAAGAGAAAAGAAAAAATTCGTCCGTCTTTTCTGAACAATTGGTTGTATTACGTGGTCTTTTTTTAATAAAAAGCAGGCAACCGAAAAATAAAATAACTAAATAATCGGTTGTATGGAAGATATGTGATATAGTTGTGCATCTGGCCGATTCCGACAAATTATCAATAGTGTGTCAAAATGCACCTATGTATTAAATTTCATTCGGATATCTTAAAAACTTACGACGACATTTTATAATCTCTAAAAGATAAACTTACACTTAAAAATCGTTGGCTCGAAACCGGTTTTAGACCCGTAGTCTCTTGGGCTAAGTTGTAGAACATTTCCCGTATACGCGATTTTAGAGAAAAAAAATCGACCCGCTCTTGTATACATACATACGAAGAGAAACTTATCGAATAACATACAAATTACTTGTGAACAAATATGTCAACAATAAAACTCTAAATTCTTTTAGGGAAGCTAAGTGTGTACTTTCGCTCTTAGGTAAACAAGGTTTCATATAGAAAGGTATGGTCTGTATAAAAATATCAAGGTACTTCAACAAAGCAGTATTGGTAACATGATCAGCAATAAGCTCAGCAAAATAATTACAATTAATTTTTCGTTTCCTTCGTTCACCTTCATTTTATTTCAAATTCTTTTGTAGACACAGTACTAAAATATATGATATTTGTTATATAAAATTTTTCGAATACAAAATCAATTAGTTTTCAAATTGGGCGCTTATTATTTCTCCGAATGCGCGAATAGTTCAATCAAAGTAAAAACTAATTTATTTTGCAGCTGTACTTACTCTTACGACTATTTTAACTTATATTATTAACAACTTAGTGTCATATGTTTAATTATAATTTCAAATTATAATTCAACGTGAAAATCTTAGAAAAAATAACGAGATTTTAATAAATTAGCCAACATTTTAGTAAATTCAATTCAGTTTCTAGTTATTTGCCTCATTTAGGCACAGATATTCTACAGTCTTTTTAATAAAAAAAAAAATAGTTTTATGTAAAATCTGGCACACTTTTAACATATATAATTCTTATAATCTAACCAGAACACGTTTTCGCAGTATTTGCTCTATTTCAAGCTTTACAGAACATTGTGAAAGCATATATAATTTAATTAGATCTTGAACTTTAAAAATTTATGAGTCAAAAATAGTTATTTCATTGGTTACGACCTTACAGTCTAACTAGATTTATAGGTTGAAAGCAATGTCGATTAAATTGTATTAAAAACGAAAAAACACGTATTTTAGTTGCTGAACTCAACTAAAACTTTCGAATGTCAAATATAATACTTCAGTTAAAAATATTAAACATATTTTCCTGAGTTATTGGCATTATTTACCTTAATTCACAAATAACGGTGCCTAGAATGCAACAATTTTTGTATTTAAGTATAAAAACTCAAGTACTGAGTTTATGCAACGTTTAGAATTTCACTTTTTTCTTAATAAAGACCATCAAGAAATAGTCTACCTGGAATTCCCACCCAAAGTTAGACCGTAAGGACTTTGCCAAATTGCATTCACTTTTGTATGACATTTCAATTTGAAATCTTAAAAATAATTATACATAGTTTACTTAGCGATAACATTGTTTTGGAATTTTTACACGCCTAACTCTCAGTATTCATAATTTATTAGCAGTATTCAAAAAGAAATGTACATACATATCTACATATGTATAAGTATTCTGCTGTTTTATTTTGCTTGCTGGTGTGAGTGATTCAAGTGGCGGCGAATAAATGATACACCAGTTGACGTCTAGCTCAGCCTCTACAAAAGGATCGAAGCGAGCGAGCGAGTGTGTGGGTAGGTAGGTCAAAAAAAAATTGGTCCGCCACCGTGTACACCCACCAGTACCACAAAATAAATGTACACGCGCAAATGTTTTTGCGAAGCTAAATATTTAATTGAACACTGCTAATACAAAAAAAAAAAATGTGAGTACTTTTAGAAATGTGCAACTGAAGATAAACTAGTAAAAGTTAACATTATTGAAATATTTGACCAATTGAAATATCTCTATCTAAGCATTCCTTATACTTTATGGAAAACCGATTCTATACATGTTTAACGCCCGTTGCCATTACTGTTATAACCATTAGTAGCTCCATTAGGCGTATTAGCTTTAATGCCTCCATTCAACTGCTTTTCCTCTGATGCTATTCCTTTACCATTCGGTTTGGCATCCTTAGCGCGTCCATTTGGTAAACGTGCGGGAGTTGCTGGCGATAAATATTCATTCAATTGCAATGGCTTCACAGCATTAACGAGTTTTTCGCACTCCTCGGCAGAGAGTTCTTCATCAGATGATGCCTCGGAGAGCTGACGTGGCGACAAACGGCAACCACGTGCCAAATAGTTTCCCAGCCGCTTCTTCGAAGCTAATATTAGCCCCAAAAATGGTGGGGATGGCTTAAGCGGCCGTGACAAGTACTCTGGATGATATTGTGTGGCAACGAAAAAAGGATGATCACGCAACTCAATCACCTCCATGCGACGTTTCTCATCATCGTATCCTACAAAACGCATACCATGCTCCTCTAACGTAGGAACATATTTGGGATTTACTTCGTAACGATGTCGATGGCGCTCATCAATTGTTTTTGGATTGCCATAGAGCATTTTTATAATGCTTTTTTCATTCGAAAAAGTAGTTCTACGTTTTCCTAAACGCATCGTGCCGCCCATTTGACCAGTGTGATGCTCGGGCATATCAATAACGAGCGGATTGCCGACCTTGGGATCGATTTCCGTAGTGTTTGCATCCTTTAAACCCAGCACATTTCGTGCAAACTCAATGACAGCCGCTTGTAGACCTAAACAAATGCCCAGCATGGGCTTCTGTTTTTCGCGACACCAATTGCATGCAACTATTTTGCCTTCCATTCCACGTGAACCAAATCCACCTGGCACAACAACGCCATCGCTATCGCAAAGCTGCATCCAAGCCTCATGATATTTAGTAGGGTCTTTGTCACGCGTGCCGGTCTCCAGGTGGCAAGCTTCAATAAATTTTAAGTTTAATTTAAAACCAGCAGCAAGTGAGGCGTGTTGCAGTGCCTTCACCACAGATGCGTACGAATCTTCTAAACGTGTATATTTACCCACAATGGCAATATTTACTTCTTCGCGGAGAGTCTCAGACCGGCGTGCTAGGTCTTTCCATTGCTGCAAGCATCTGTAATTCAAAAAATATTAGACTTAACATCTGTTGTTAAATTAAGTCGATCTTCCTAAATAAATATGTGGTACAATTGTAAAGTAGAAGTACATATCAACCTTTTAGGTTAGGAACTCAACATTGTCTAACGGCTAGGGTTTCAAATAATGCATTATAAAATAATTGAATTAACATTTGATTTAATCCCAAATACGGGATTACAAAATAAAAAAATTCCCCTTACCGAAATAACAAAAAAAAATGTTTAATCCCACATACCGGATTAAAAATTTATTTATAACTACCGGATTGAAAAAAAATTAAATTTTAATCTCAAGCGTACAACTAACATTCAATTAAAAAAATAATATTTTAAATTTTTAATTTTTAATTTCAAACATCTTGGAGTAAACTCCAACATCGGAATTAAAAATGAAAATCAAGTTTTTAATTCCAAGATCGGTATTAAAATATAAAAATTTAATTTTTAGTCCAAATTTTTGAATTAAAAGATTCGCAAACCTGCCAACGACTGCATATGATAACCAAAAAACTCAAGTGGAAAACTATTTTTTTTTTCAATTAAGATTAATTCTTAATAATTTTAGCAAAAGGCTCGACAATAATAGGTACCAATTATACAATTAATATCTAACATAATAATCATTTACTTACTTCTCGCGTTTTGATGACTCAATTTTCAGCTGCAGACGGTCGTTGAGAAACTCTATGACTCCGTTTTGTTCCATTAGTAACGGTACATGGTATATTGAGCTAAGATCGTGAATGCATATAACCTGATCTGGTGCAACATGACAAAAGTTGCTAATTTTTTCCTTCACTTCGAGACCAATTGGTTTCTCCGACCGACAAACTATTAAATCAGGGCTCAAACCAAAACCACGCAACTCACGTACAGAACTTTGTGTTGGTTTTGTTTTCGGTTCACCAGTGGAACGTGGTGAGGGTACAAGTGAAACGTGCGCTACACAGAAATTTTCACGTTTTACACGAAATTGAAATTGACGAAAAGCTTCCACGAAGGGCATACCCTCAATGTCACCGATTGTGCCACCCAATTCGATGATACACACTTGTGGCTGTGAATTGCCTTGCACTGGACGTTGCGACACGCGTTCTACCCACTCTTGGATGGCGTCCGTAATATGCGGAACAACTAGAAATACAATTCAACAATTAATTATTCAATTTAATAATACCTATCAAAAACTTCAATTAATTACCTTGTACAGTTTTGCCCAAATATTCACCAGTGCGTTCTTTCTCAATAACTTTCTGATAAATCTTACCAGTTGTTATGTTGTTGTCGCGATGCAAAGTTATATCCAAAAACCGCTCATAATTGCCCAAATCCAAGTCAACCTCACCGCCATCATCCAGGACATATACTTCACCTGGGCAGAATAAAAAAATATATATATTTATCAGCAAAGAGAAAAATTATAATAAAAAAATATGGGCTTTAAATAAATATTAATTATATATACATATACTTGTACATACTGCGCTAAAACTCCCTTTTACCTTAATAAAAAATCAAATCCGTGCAATAATTAGATTTTGCATATGACTGCCGAAAATAGTATGGGTATTTTATCCAGGACTTAGCTCACCAAAAGACCAAGAACTACTGTTCGATATTTAACGAGTAAAAATATTAAAAAACTCATATTCCTTAGCACAATTTCATGTTTTATTTCAGGCTTAAGCAAATAATAACGTTCGAAAACGTTAAAACTAGATTTTCATATTCAATTCCACATGATGGGGATACCACATATTGAAGCATTATCTGTTTTTGTATGTATGAATGTGGGTACACTTACAACTAAGTAATACATCCAAGTATTCAATATGTATATTTATATATGTATATGTACAGTCTTATATAGTGAGCTTTAAAGTTACAAAACTAAAAAGAAAGAAGTCGTCTTCACAATTTTTAAATAAATGAGCAACTTATTCTGTTATGACTATAAACTACATCGCTACAATTTATTTGGTTTCTTCCAAATCCTCTTTGTAGAGTTCCTTGAATATTAACTTTTGAATTTTGGTGCGAATGCGCAGCTTTTGCGCAGCTGTCAGCTGCTTCATGTATGGATGCAAGCTCAGCAGGTAATGATAGTCGTCATCCTCCGGAACAATTGGCGCAGTATTATCCATCGTGGATGAACCATTAAAATTGCTATCTTCCGACAAACGCGGACGTTTCAACTTTAGCGCCGGTATTAAGCCATTCGCATACGAGTGCTTGGTGAAATTCAAGTGCTCGTGGCTGCCATGCAAACAACTGCTGCTACCATTTAAAGAGAACTCATCGCGCTCATTATTCAGAGCTGCGGCCACAGCTGTGGTAAGTGCTGATGCGGCGGCTGTAGTTGTTGGCGGCGGATGGTGTGCTTTATTGTACAGTGGTGGCGGTGAAACAGAGCGTTTTTTATGTTGTTGTGTCGCGGCTGTCATCGAACTGGTCGCCACACTTGCTGCGCTGACTATACTGGCAATGGGTGTTGAGGGTGGTGTAATGGAGGTGGTTGTTTGTGCGATGGTGGTAATTATGTTACCCATGCAAGCGCTCAGCAAAGAGGGCGAACTACCGTTGCTAGTCAACAAAGTGTTGTTGCAATTTTTATTTACACTATTGTTATTATTGTTAGCTTCCATGGATTTCTTGGATAAGTCTTGTGCTTCCTTCTCGCCGTCATCATCCAAAAGATGTGCAGCTCGTAGTAGTACGCCAGCGTTTTTCAGAATTGAGCGGGCATCCTCGGTTTTTATGGAAGTCACAGTTTGTGTATGAGCAGCTGGTGGTGTTGGTATTGCCACGTCATCATCATCCTCATCAATATCGTCCTCATCGAACTCTTCATCACTGTCCTGCATGCGACGTATGAGCCCATTGGTGAGGTCAGGTTCAACCACAGTCTTCTCACAATCTTGACTTTGTTGCGTAAAGTAGTAGGACTGATCCGGCTCACTTTTAGGCATGCGATGTCGCATATGATCAGCTGTAAGACCGAATTACTTTTGAGAATGTGCACTAAAAATGAGTTAAAGACGTAAACAGAGAAGTAGCAATAAACAGTAGGCTTGTGTAGATATAGCTGTTGTTTGTAACCAAAAGCTTTCTATTTACATAAATCTTAAAATAAATAATAAAATTACACATTTTACTGTTCGACTGCTTAACACTCTTCTCTGTTGTTATTTCAGTTATTTTAAAAACTCACTCAAAAACAGCAATGCATAATAGTGTAGCCATTTCGATTCAAATGTCGCGGGTTCCACTAGGAAATCGCCTTGTTCGGAGCGTGGAATGCGTTTGTATTCTACACGGAAATTATCACGCAGGCCCTTCCATTTAGCCTTGAGCACCACTTCTGCAGTATCGAGCCGGTCATTGAACAAGTCACAAAAGACGTGAAAGAATGCACAACGTGAAACAAACAAAATACAAGCAAATGAGCGAGGAAAGAAACTGAGTCAAAACCCAAAACAAGCATAGAAAAATGTGCTTATTCGGCAAATAGTAACCAAGTACTCACTGGGCAATTTATGGACGCTAGACAGCTCATCCCACATTTGTTCTAGAAATGCTTTGTTGCAATGAAAATTACGATTCCAAATGGCTGGCCGTTCTTGAACGTCGCGTATAAATTGTTCAACGTTCAGGACGACTGTAGACTTCTTTGGTGCCATGAGTAAAGGGCCGTTTTGTGACGCCAGTTTTATACGTTGATTAGTTGTGCACTTCGCTACCCTACAATTCGAGTAAATCGAAAGTTAAGCGTTATACTAAAAAGTAAGCAGGGACGCGCGCGTAGATTCGTTTATTACTGCTGACTGATTGAAACGTTCATTTTGGACTGATTACTGAGCTGCCTAACTGCCTTTCTTAACGGCCAGTTAGCTAGCAGGCTAGATGGTACAACGACATAAAGGATGGATGGAGTGGGGTAAAACAATGTGCTTGAGTGAACACTGAGCTGAAAGCGTGTAAGTGCAGCGACGCCAATGATGAACAACTGCCACGAAGACTACAACTGCTGCCTGCTAACTACATCCCGGCCGCAGGCACTGCGTTCGAATTGGAAGCAAAATGTCCGCAGCGATTTTTCAAAAATAAAATCAAGTGGAAAAAGAAATAAAAAAAAACAATACCAACCTGCGAACAGCCTAACGCAGGAAAGAAAGACCGTATACAAGCAAGACAAAGTAGCAGTAAATGCTGCCGACGAGCAGGCAGGCACACACAAGCCGACAACAAAAAGGCGAAATGCTGATGAAAGCGGCAGGGGAGCCAAAGCCGCTTAGGTCGCTGAATCGCTAACTGTCTGCCAGTAGGACAGACGTGAACCGACAAACGGAGGTTTTGCCAAGCAATGCGAATTATATCGGCTGGCCACACAGTCATACAGCCAGACGGTTAGCGAGCGAAGGCAACACTTAGCTATGGATTGGCGTATGGCAAATAGCATGATAGTGTGAACGACAAACGTACACACATAATGACACCATTCTTGAACGTTTCCCTACACACATATGGAAGCACTATGTGTATGTATGTTCACACACCACGAAAAATTGGAATATCAGCCGTCGCGTCGCAAAGAACGAAAGAAACGGTGAATCGGACGTCGGACCTGAGGACTGCGATGATGATGATGATGGCGTTTGCTGCGCGCAGAGCGCTAAGTAAGCAAAGTGACTGCGACGACGATAACGACGCCTAGTTGCGCGCCAAACAACAGATGCAGCTGGCGGATAATTTGACACGTTCATCGCGATGTAGGCGACGACAGTGAATACGTTGATTAAGGAGGTGAAGGAAGCCACAATCAAAGCGCACGACACACTTCAATGCAGAGAATCGACAAGGCCTAAAACGAACATGTGAATGGCGTCACAGGGGGATATGTAAGAGGAATTAGAACAGGACGATTGACTGTCGTTTGGACAGTCGTCGTTTAAAAAAGTAATTTTATAGCACAACACGGCACACAAAGCGCAACAAAGAATTATGTTTACTACATGTTGGTATTCACTCCATATTAACATAAAACATCCCACAAGCGCCAATAACTTAAAACGCTTAGGTAGATAAACTGGTACAAAAAATTGTGGCAGAAATATCGAGATAATCGCGAAATCAGAAAATTTTTAAATTATTTTAAATTAAATGCTAATTTAGTCCATGACCCATAATATAAACACATACATACATACAGAAGTTAATAAGATATAAATTCGATTGTAATCCATTCATAATTTCGTCTAACAATGGATGTTGAATTCTTTCGCAACATTTTTAAAAGAAAATTAAATAGGCAGATACACCCGAATTAACCCTGCCTTACTTGTTAATTGTAAAATCCTTCAATTTGGGTAGTTTCTAAATTCGTATGAAAATTAGTAGTATTATTTTTTACTTTCGCTTTCTAGATAATGGAAATAATGGTTTAATGTTCTATAACGACTGACGAAAAAAAAAGCGTCCGGACGAACACGGTAGTCAATCTTAGCGAGTTTTACGCACTTCTGAGCGTAGAACCGTACTAGGTAAATATGTAAGTTACAAAGTACACATGCACATGCAAGCACTTAAGATGTACCGAGCATCTCACCTTAAATTATTTGAACATACAAATGTATGCATATATGCATATAGTATGCCGGTAGAAGACCTACCGAAAAACTAGAGAAGTCAGGAGGGGTGCCGAATAAGCAAGCAATACCAATTCCCATTTTCCAAAGATATGTAAGTATGTACATAAGTATATATGTATATGTATGTCCACAGACATCCCATACATATATGTATATACATATACATATGACTGTATGTATAGACACCCGTAGCTGTACATTTTGCTCGCTCGCTGGAGACAAGCAATGCCGCCAACAACGAACACATCATCGTCACCAACCATACTGCTGCCGGTGATACTAAAAGCAATATCAGCTCCGTAACTACCACAAAAATCACCAGCCTCCGCTGCCCTCGAAAGAAAACAGAAAACAACATTAAGGCTAGCGAAGCGTCAAAGCCAATGCAGCATAGTGAATGTGAATGGTCTCCCGTTATTGGCAACGAAGGCTTCAAACAGCAGTAATTGCAGCTGTCGCGTTCCTGCGCCCCAACGACACAGAGACATTGAAGTTAGTCGATCGAAGCGCCGCATGTGTCTGCATGTGCCCCTCGTGCCCAGGCCTCCATCCACTACTTCATCCATCTACACATGCAAGTGTGTATGAATATACTCAGTTCTATCCAAAGCTAGCGTTATGCGTTGCACGCGCTTTCTGACCGTTGTTGCTTTTGTCATGCTGTCGTTATTGCTTTTGTTGGGATTCGTGTCTACCGTTGATGGGTTTTGCTGTCGTTAGTCGTTGTTGAGTTTATGTTCTGTTTCTGACTGCTTGCTGCTGACTCGGTTACCACTATTTCGCGCTCCTTTGCTACTGTCACTTTGTTGCTTACTTTATGTTATACGTAACATGACTGTTGTTGTTCTTCGCTGTGGTGGTGAAGTATCTTTGTCGTATTCCGCACTCCATGCGCGATTCGCAAATTTTCCATGCCCTTTTGCAATATTTTCTACCCCACCTCACGTCACGACCCCGAAAGCCCCTGGCACCACAAACACCATCAACACACTTCCGTCTACCGTGCTACACTTTGCTTTTCTTCAATTTCCTTTTCTTCTTCGGTTTGTCCACGCAAAGTCGCGGCGTCAGTTTGGTAGCTTTGCGAATGATGAAGGCGGCGTTGATGGCGTGTGTTGTTGCTGGCGCTGGCGGCTTTACGTGCCGTGAACAAAAGTTTACTTCGACTGCCAGATTGCTGTTGTCGTTAATATTATTGTTGTTGCTTTCGTTGTTGTTCACGTCGTCGCCGTCACCTTCGTCTTTGTCGCTGCCGATGTCGTTTTTATTGTTATCGTTTATTTTTTGTGACTTTTATTTCTCGCGCTATAGCGACAGCAGGAAATACCTCGCCGCTTTCACACTCGTTCGCATCCAAACACATAACAACAGCAACAACATAGTTGTCGCTTCGCCTTTATGGCGGCTCAACAAGCAAATGGATATGTGCAAAAACGCTGGCGCGCAAAACTCAAAAGCGAAAATAAGCTGAAAACGTAGAGCACAGAAAAAGACGACAAAAAAATTAAAGCAGAAATGCCGCAGTCTGGCACTGGAGGCGCATACTGAAATCAAACCAAAGCAAATTGCTCCCGGCATGACAGCCACACAGTGAAGTATCAAAGGTACATGCATACACACGCAGTACTTGTACGCTTGCTATGTAACGTATGTATGTATGTATGTACGGCTTGTATAGCTGTGAAGTTGTGTAGAAAAGTGTGGGAGCTTGCGATAACACTGAGCAAACTAAAAGGAAACCAGAAGGTAGCGACGCACAGTTAATTCGCGGCCAAGCAAGTAGAAGTTGGCAAGCGTTCATTTGGGCATTCACAGCGGAATGTGCTAATAAAAACAACCATCGTCATCGGCTGTGACCAAATGCCTAGCAAGTAATACATATACATACATACATATGTAGGTATTGCGTCGAATGTCGACAAAAAACCAACCAAGTTCTTTCTGCAGAACATTTCATCAACTGCAGAGCAAAAAAAAAATGTAAATAAATGAAAAAACAACACCAACATTGAAGCACGAACGAAAAAAAAAAGCGCAACAAAATTCTACAAAGTTGCAAATTAGAGCTATGCGTCATCTTAAGTAATAAAAATATTGTGTATTAATGATCTGGAAAAACGATTAAAAGGATATTGAAATATAAAAAACAAATATGCGCCCCAAAAATATACATGCAAAATAGAGGAAATGAAAATTTTAGGTTAAGCGCTATGATAGCGACACATGTCATTAATTAAGCATAGCCCCACAATGCGAGGTTTATTCAAAAAATTTTCAATTTTGGAAAAATCCTTTTTTTGAGAAAAAACGTTGGAATTTGAAGGACCGGAATTGCTCAACTTTTCATACTTTGTCGTACCCATTATTTGGAGTATTTGAGAAAAAGTAATCCACCAATGAAAAATCGAAACTAATATATAAATCAGGATTTGTTCATAGATCGTGAAGTGATTAATATCTCCGTATAACTTCAGGTCCTTTCATATACAAATATTCAAAACTAAACTAAATCGTTTTTCTTAAAAACATAATAGTTATTAAAATAGTGGATGTTGAGAATGTAATAAGGCATTTTGATGGACTTATAAACCCAATCAACGGAGAGTGTATTTAAGTTGCCAGTGCTGATCAATGTCACCAACCTGATAAATTTTATTAAAATTACATAAGTATGTATAAGAAAATACTGCTTTCTCTAAACCTCTTGTTCCACTTACTGTGGATATTAACTATCTCCATTATATCGACAATTATTAAGTAACAAAACTCGTTTTAAATAATTGATTCCATTCCCACGTCAATAGGTCCTACCTAACCGAAACGGACCTAGATGTTCATTCGGCTAAGGACTGTCATCTCGGTAGCAATCTATACAAATATTTGTTAAATAATATTTTACAACGACAATAACATAAATTACAGATTTTGCATAAAACCACAATCACTGGACCTCTACTGGACTGTTAGAGGTGTATCAAATTATAATGTGTCCTAAGGATTTTATTTGATCTTGGTTATTTCTTGGCAGCGGGATTGTTTGTTATTCTTAAAATTGTGAAATAACAAATCAACTGAACTTATGTACAAACATACTTATGTACATAAGCGCGTACGAGTAATAAGCTCGAAAATTAAAACTAACTGTAAAGTAATCAAAGAAACAATATTGTGGCAAGTGCATATGAACTGAAGAGCCCGGGGGTGGCGCAGTTAAGCAAACGTAGTAATAACGGCGACGCCATACACTGTGCAAAAGGGGGCAACGAACAATAGGCAGGAAAGATACATGCATATACTTAAATATATTTAAATATGTGTACATAAGTATGCGGTTCCACCATATAGTCTCTATATAATGCCGTGGTATGGTATACATTGGGGAAATGATGTCAGGCTATCAAACAGACAGGGAGGCGGTCGCGGCGCGTGCACGGTCGGTTGGTGGCGGTTATGCAGGCGTCACATGAAACATAAAATCAATAAAACACACGCGCGCAGCAGACAAATGAAAAAGGACCCGTTAGTACCACGAGCTATTGGCAAAATAGTAGTAGCCCTTGCTCAAACACCACTATTTGGTGATGACGATGATAAAAGTGTCGGCGGCGGGTGCCAGCATGACTTTGGAATAGGTGATAGTGAGCGGGTATGTAGGGAGGACGCGCAACGCCTCAATCAAGTCAGCTAACTAACGAATCAGCACGCAAGCAAATAACTGGCTAACAACCAATGAATATATTCCTGTGGACTCAAGTTGGTTTGATTCTGGCGTTGAAACTCGGAACGATGAATGTCGTTAACGATGGTGACACGTTCACACACGCAAGCACATACAGACGCACGAATATACAGAACACAAAACAGACTTGAATTGCGCGTTTCACGTTCGCGTTATCACGTGTTAAAATATACACACTTCCACTGCTGATTGCAGTCGGCTCACAACTGAATTGAAAATTCAGCAGAGCAAAGTCACACACCAGCCAGCCAGAAAGGCAGGCAACACATTCGGCCATGCGGATGCAGGCAAAAAGTCAGCGAGGCAGTTGGGCAGGCGTTGAATTAGCAGCAAATAGCAAGCAGTAGCGTGTGGAAGCGCATTTGTGAAACGCAAACGCTTTTACCTCCTCCTTGCGCGCCAGCAACAGCACCAACGCTACCAACGTCAGCTCCAGCCAGACAGTCAACAGCCGCCATAAGGCTACGTCGCCACCAGAACCAAACCTTGCGCCCACTTGACGATGACGACAATGATGATGATGACGATGCAGATGAGAGAGGTGAAGCCCGCGGCGCGACATGTTGAGAAGGGTAGAGGCGAATAGCGTGTATTTGCGCGCTTTAAACGCTAGGCTTGTGCGGCTCGTGAGCATACATTTTGGGCTTTTCAAGTGGAGCGCATATCGTGCATATTACATACATACATATGTTCCTCCAACAGCGGTGCCAACAATGACGAGCATAACAAAACCACAGCACACGGCTCACCGCGGATTGCACACAGCAACACAGCCGCAACGGTGAGGCGTTTGTTGTTGTTTTAGCCACTGCCATCACACTGCTGCTGCCGTTGCTACTGCTCACAACGGCGACGATAATGATGGTGATTATGATGACGCTAACGCAAAGAGGATGGATGGCTGATGACTGGCTGTTTGACTACACCGAGTCGAATGTGGGGTTATAGCAGAGGCAAAAGTCGACGCAGCAGAACAACAACAGCAACTACTCGAACAGAGGACGCTGCTGACTGACTGACACAGCGCGCGGCTGTTTGTCAGACCAAAGAAGGCCGAGCCGTGAGGGGTAGAACTCGGCCACCGTGTACGCGCACTCTGAAATTCGCCAAGCGCAAATTTCAAAAGCGAATGAAATGGAAGCAAAACAAAGTGAAAACAAGCAACCGCTAGCAATGGAGGCTCAGTATAAGAAAAATCAAAAAAACAAGCAGTTGGCGCGACGACACAGCACGCTCTGGCTGGATGGCTGGCTAGCTGGTTGCATGGCTCGTTGGTTGGTTGGCTGACAAAATAATTCCAAATGACGGTTGGCAGGCTGGCACTGGCGAGCGAAAAATAAACTCAACGAAGCAAAAAAAAATGAAGTGCCGCAGCGCACCACCGCAACGCAATAGCAGACAAAAACAAAAAGAAACTAAAAACGCAATGGAAACGGAAAAAATCAGCAAACAAAGTGAGCGAGCAGGCGAAGAGGCAAGTAAAAAAATTTACAGCAAGTGTATGCGGCTTTGAATGACGCTGCGGTAGGGTAGGTGCGCACCAATGTGGCGAAAAAGTGAAGCAAAAAGAGTAAAAGAGTGACAAAAAAAAAAAAGCAAAGACAAAGAAAAACGCGGGGGGCAGCAAAATTAAAACGCTTTAGCGACTAACTGCTGGTGCTGGCAATCACCAACAAGCGAGCTAGTGGCGTTTTTCGTGACGTTATCGACATACACACCCACTCAAACAGCAGAGAATTTGTGTGCGATCCAACGATACGAACAAGGAGCACGCAAAAGGAAATTACTACGATGTCGCCGCCAATAGCGAGAGGTGATGGCGAAGAATCAACGCGAAAATTGCCCAGCGAGCCGACTGTCCATTAGGCAAGTAAGAAATAAAAGCAAAAGTAAAAAAGAGCAACGCAACGACGTAGCTGAATGGATGATTGCCTGGCTGGCTCGCTGGCTTGATGGCCTGCCGACTGGTTCATTGACAGTCACCGCCAGCGCAAGCAAGCGACGACTTCAATACATTATTCTTATTTGCCAATAAGCGACTGAATGTAAATAAGAATAGCAGTCAGTGTATGCATCTATGTGCTTATGTATGCATAGAAATTTGTACAAATGCCACATACTAAATGACTGGTTGTCTAGCAGGCAGGCAGAGGGGCAGTGGCGGCTGCTTGAGCAGCGTTCGCAATGGTGGCGGCGTTGATGATGACAATGACGATGGTAAATGACGCTTGGCAACGCGCAACAGCAGAAACACCAACAAGAAGCAAATAAACAATAACAAGCATTGAAACTGCTGCGGCAGTGACGGCTGGCCAAGCTTGTTGGCACAGTCATATGAGAGCAACAGAGCGGCGACACGGCACGTATTTTTGCCAGCGCAAGCAGTCAGGCGAAGGAAGTTCGAATGTGCAATGTGCACACGCGAGGGGTCTTGGATGACGTATGATAGAACGACAAGCAATAGTGTTGTGAAAAATGAAAACCAAAAACGCGAACAGCTTTTCGCAGACAAAAATGGAGGAGAGAGAACTTGGTCACAGTGGCAGTCGCAGTCACGGTGTGCAAATTACGGTCAGCGACGGCATAGCAATAATCACAGCAACATAAATGGTCTCGTCGTCCCGAGCAGGGTGATCTAAGCTAAGCTGCGTAGGTCGAGGGAAACAAGGGTTTAGACGAAATCATTAAAGCCTAACCGCGCAGAAATGTTGCTGCTGACGATAACGGCTATGGCTAGTGGTAGCTAGTGTCGTTCTGGTCGCAACGTTGGCAAATGGATGGCAGTAAAAATGCGTTGAGTTCTGCTGCTGAGCAGAAAAACAAGGCGCATAAAATCGCAAAGCATTTTTTTTCTATTTTTGTATTTTTTATTGTTATCATTTTTTTCGACTTAAACATTCCCTTTTTACCCACATACATATGTATATTACAGCTGGCATTCTCGCACAACGCAATCGACAGCAGCCAAGGCACACTACTGATAAACCTGTGGGGGAAAAACATACATACATCTGTATGTATATAACGAAAGCATGAAACACACGACCATGACATATGAATGTAAGTATGTATGGTATGCATTGAAATTGCACACACGCAATATTAAAATAGCACTCGCAGCAGTATGCAGTCAGCCATTAAGAGCGAAACGATGCAAAAATGCTGTAGTTGTGAGGCATGATGAGGTAGAATGGAGTGACCGGTCGCCTGTCGCTGGATGAAAGTAGAGTCCGATGGGTGATGTTTTTATTGTAATCGCACATTGTACTTTCATATATTACTGACTAGCAACGTGATGATGGTGATGGTGATAACGATGATGATGTAGCAGCCATGGTTGCTATTAGTTGACGTATAGTGTGATGCGTTCTCCAGCACATAACTGCCTGACGAACGGCGAAATGAGTCGTGAAGCCAGACACTCCTTCAACGCGGCTAATGACGAAGCAGGTACACATACATATACACACATAACACATGTCAATATATTGCAGCTCATGTGTTCATAAAATTAATAGGTCTCCGAGGAGCGTGCACATGGGTCAGTGCGAGCTAGCGGCCGATTTGACTAGTGTCGGCTTTACTGCAGACCGACTGCAGATACGAGCCGTTACATTCGGTCAACGCGTAACACTCGCCGCGCAAAGTTGCCAATAGTTGCGGTTGGGCGGATAGGAAACGCAACAGATCGCCAAACCGACTGACGATTCAAACTCACTGTCTACGTGCACTGTGACATTGTTGAGAATGCAGATGCTGTTGCTGCTGCTGTTACGAACGGAAGTGGGCGCAATGAAGAGTGTGTTGTTTTCCAGCACAATGAAGTATGATAGATTTTTATGGTATGAGTAAATGTACATACATACAGCTATGCACAGAGAAATAGCACTTCCAAATTTTTTTTTCAAACGATGGTTTTTTGAAAATTTTTATGTTAAAGTGTTTTTTATTTATTTTTAGAAACTTGGTTTCGATGTGATATTATATAAAAAAGAACAAACACTAAATTAAATTAACTTATTATCATTTGGCATTTCTTTTTTATTATGAAGTTCACCGATTTCGGCAGTACACAGAAATAGCAGACTTTCGGAATTATGTAAACGACTTTGCGCTGACCATTCTAATTTATCAATATTTTCGGTATATGGTATAACCAAATCTTTACTGCTTTAGCTACATGTTTCGGATCATTATTATGCATAAATATCAAATATCATATATTACAGGAATTGATTCCACACACTAAAATCAATAACTTTCTTGAACAACTTTAAATCAAATGAGAAATAATCAATAATAGCCGAACACCTGCAATGGCAATATGCAAGTTACCAAAGAAATTGCCAGCCACAAAATACTTAGTTTTATAATGGGACATAGTTTACCAATGCATGCTACTTCAGAGCTGTTTATGCTTTATGCTCTTTTTCCGGAGTCTGCAAGAAGTCATAATCCAGCGCTAACCACTAGGAAGATTACATTTAGTCTACTGTCCAATCATTATTTAATAAATTTTTTTATCTAATTTTACGAAATATCATTCATTTACCTCCCTGCAAGCCATTTATCGGTTAAATCACCGGTTAATTACCCAACAGCGCTACCAAAGATTTCTGTTCAAATTTCTCGTTCCCGAAACTCTTGTGTACGTGGGATCCATAAATAAAATGATCCGAAACTCCTCTCTTTGCCTTCTGAGAGAGCTCATGAACTTTCAGTGCTGCCAAAAAAAAAAACCACGAATCCATGAGCTACTGAACAGATGACAAGCAAAACAATAAAACAATGAACCACCACTAAGAATCCCGCAGAAATAAATTGCGAAATCAGTGGGTAATTTGTGAGATCAGATTTTTTGGTAACTTTTACGTATATTTCTAATCTTTATTTAAAAAGATTTAATATAGTTTTGTTTTTAAGAAAGATCGGGTATTTTGTAGTAATGTATTTTGGTGTAATATTTATTTATAGAGTGTATAAAAAAGAAATAAGGTTCATGTTTAGGTTATTTAAAATTATTGTAAGTATTTTGAAATATTAAAATATTTTGTTAAATTTAGTTTTAAACGTTAATTTTGAAAATCTTTTGTGATTAAAATATACATGTACATATATTTAGACGTCATATAGGATATCTAGCTTGTTAAACTAATTTTAATTATGTATATTTTTCTGTAAAATGGAAACCGAAAAATACCCAAGAAATACATTAAAAAATCTCAAAACTTATTTCTTTCCTTAGTGGCACCACTGTCAAATGTTATAAAAAAAAATGTGGACTTTGACAGCGCTCTCTCGAATCAAAGAGTTTCGGATCATTTTATCCATGGTGGTATCGTTCATCCCTCTTTTACGCAAATGCCTTGTACGATGTGTATGTACATCAGTAGTCGACATAAAAGGTACTGCGACAGTGTGAGTGAGCACAAAAATTAAGATACCCACTGAGAACTATGTATGTTTCCATTTTTAGAATATTATTATTTTTTCCTGAAAAAAGCAATTCCACGCTTCGTTTTAATTTTATATATATTAATGAACGCTTTCGTCCAGTGTTTCTCTCCAATAAAAATGGCGACTGTTGCTTGGCAAAGCGTAAAACGATGAGAGATGCCCACATTTTACTTGGCCTCGCGTCGGAAACTTTTTACGTACTCATACAAAAGCGTAAATCTTTTTTTTTTAATGTCAAAACAAAAGTCAAAGAGAAAATCTCTAGGTACTAAAATTCCTACCAAATCTGTTGCAAAACTATAAAATTATCTTATCATCAAAACATAGGGTTTTCAGATCACATTTAGAAAATATTGGGACGAACACAGATTATAGAACAAAATCGAATCGACGATAAATTGCCAGTAGCAACTACACAACGAATTCGAAGTTGCTAGAATGTTTAGTGTCGATCTACTATATAAGGGCTGCCAGATTGTGCAGCAAACATAGTTCTAGTTAGAGTGTTGTCGTGTTAAGAGCAATTGATATATAAGCAGTAAGTTGTAAGCTCGGATAATAAGTAGTAAAGCGTTAAGTTTTTGGAATTGCCGATCGAAAATCCCGTTACAGTATGTACTTACAAATAAACCGTAGAGGTCAATTAAATTTAGCTACATGCTCAACCTTACTTTTTTTCAAGCCAATCGAATATTTTTAACCACTACCTACGAAATTTTCCCTTTGAAGGTCAGGCGGGAATATATTACTAAAAATTATTGTCACATTGTCAAGAACTATCTGAGCGGTCGGAAATCATCCGTACTTTTCGAGGTCAAAATTCTAAGAAGAATTAAACGACTAGTTTCGAAGGTGTCCTCTCTTCACTACTGTTGAACTGCTATATTTCGAAACTCCCTCAACCACCAGAGTGAATTTCTATCATCTTATATGCAGATGATTGTACGATTGTCGTCAGGTAATGGAATTGATGACATGTGTTCGTAAATAAACAGCTATCTTACCGATCTTTTTCGCTTCTTCTCTGCAAGGAGCCTGACACTCTCCCCAACTAAATCAGAGTACAGCCTGAATCTTAATATCCTTTCAAGTCGGTAGCTAGAAGTTCCTGGAGAAAGGACAAAGAAACGTTGTTGGCAACATACGAAGCAATCGGCCGGCCGGTTATCAACTACGCTGCAGCCATATGGTCGCCTGGATGTAGTGAAACGCAGACGAAGAAGCTTCAGACGTGTCAGAATACTTCCTTCCGTATATGCTGTACGGGATGTTTTCTCAGACTATGAACGCAACAAACTTCAGACACTCATTGACCACCAACATTGCAAGCTCAATGAATCCCACTCACACTAAAGTCCGGCCCCGTAGAAACAGCACGTTTTCTGGGCCCACTATGGATGACTTCGATGACAACTAACTTGAACCTTACCACTTAAGCGGGAATTAGATAACCACCACAACAACAACATTGTCAAGTTGTTAATTGACATGTCGCAAAAGTTAAAGTTTTCATTTACCTGACGTCGATATCATTTTGTTTTCTTAGGGCGGAGGTTGTAGGTGTTATACCTAAAAAAAAATATATAATATTATCAATTATTTAAATTAAAACTAAATTATTTTCTTGCCCATGCGCGTCTTTTTCTTTCATTTAATGTATGAAGTTAAAGAAATGCGGGAAAATATCAAATTTTTGACCCTTTCAATCTTTATTTCACAGTTTCAATTATATTTAGATCTCTCATTTTCCACACATTAAGCAGGTGGCTCCCATTCATGACTATTTTTAAGTTAATACAAGGTACAATTCAAAAGTTCCAGGACTTTTTAAACAAACGTGGCTTCAGTGGCGCCATCTGTCTAAAATTGTTATCCCTCAATTGTGTATTCTTCAGTGTTGTCGTATAAAATTTATATAACAGCTGAGATATCGCGCTACATGTGACATTACATTTGTAGTGTCGGTCGGAAAATGAGCATCGAACAAAGATCAGACATTAAGTTTTGTTTTAAACTTGGTAAAACTTTTACCAAAACTCATCAAATGATGAAACAAGTTTATGGCAATGATTGTCTATACGGCTATGGGTATTCACGAGTGGTTTAAACGTTTTCAAGAGGGACGGGAGGACTTGGAAGACGACGAACGTACGGGCCGGCCAAAAGATGTTGTGGACGAAAAAACACGGAAATTGTGCGTTAGTTCATTAAAAAAAAAAGAGCCGAAATCATCGCTTAAATATATGGAATCGGAATTATCAATATCCGCAGCGTCGATTTATCGTATTTTGACAGAAAATTTGGGCCTCAGAAAGGTTCGTGCTCGATTTGTCCCGCACACTTTGAAACAACACGAAAAAGACCTCAGAATTCAACATGCAAGAGACATCATTAAAGAGGCCAAAAAGGACCCAAACTTTTTGTATTCCCCTGATATGGCACCCTGCGATTTTTATTTGTTCGGAAAACTACATTTGGCCATGAAAGGAAACCGCTATGCTGACGTTGATGCCATCCAAAAGGCGACGACCGCCATCCTCAACGCTATACCGACAAATGACCTAAAAAAGTCATTCGATAACCTTCTTGAACGTGCAAAACGTTGTATTCAGGCGGAAGACTATTTTGAAGGCGACCAATAAATTTTTCAAAAAAAAAACAAATAATATTCGTTTTTTAATAAAAGTCCTGAAACTTTTGAATTTGCTCCTTGTAGCAAACAATTCAGATTAACTTTCATTCTAAATACATTTAGCAAAAAATATTACCTACGAAAATATTTTTGAACATGATTGTCATCATATTTTTTAAGTCAGTCGTGACCAATTTACTTGTCAATATGTAAGAATGAAATAGCTGAATTCTTTAATACTGTCACCACTGACCGTCAAATGAACAGTAAAATGACTGTCAATATTTACGATTTTTCCAAAAGCAAATTTTGTATACGTCGAAAAGAGACAGCATATATTTCCATAGAAGTTTCGAGAAGTTGTGAAATACCTATGTAACTATTATTCCGTGCGATAAACCAAAAGTGTTGCGTGCTCCTGTGCAATACCTCTTTTTGTTTTAAAAAAAATAAATAAATAACGAAAGAGTCTTCAAATATAATATACGTAAGTTATTATTAAGCTTCAGATAAAATAACATTTTTAGTTAATTTTCATTTTTATTTATGCACTTTTAAATTCAGAAATATCCATGAACTGGAGAAACACTTTTGAGGGAGCAAGCATGGAATCAAGTGAAATTTTCTTCTCATAACTTATTATTTAATTATATTTATGTTGCACTCTTTTGTAATATTTATGTACTTTTATAATATTATAACTAATTTTGATTAAAAGAAAAGGAATAAAAATTGTATCATACACTGCGCAAAAGAATTTTTCACTTGTGATATATTTACAGTCATAACTGACAAATTGCAGCTATGATAGCGTTTCCATCATAACTGACAATTTTCACCTTTGATGGATTTATAATCAGCAATGACTTAGGAAAAGAGTGAGCAGTATAGATACATAGTGAATCAACTCCGAATATCCATGTGTTAAAGGGAGATGCAAATAAAGTAGCAAAATCACACAAATGTGTTTGTTTACATCAGTTTTTCAGATATAACTGTCATATTACCGGTCAGATGACTGTAACTGTTCTTGTAGGGATTATACGAAACTCTTTGATTCAAGAGAGCGCTGTCAAAGTTCACATTTTTTAAAACATTTGACACTGGTGCCACTATGAAAAGAATTTAGTTTTAATATTATTAATGAATTTTATCTTAATTTTTCGGTTTCCAAACTACACATAATTAACATTGGTTTTAGAAGGATATATTAGGCCCTAATATATATGTTTATTTTATATATATAAATTTTAGTCACAAAGGATTTTCAAAATTAACTATTTAACCTCAATATAACAAAATATGTTAATATTTCAAAACAATTTCATGTTTTAAATAACCTAAACATGAACCTGATTACTTTTTCTGTGCAAATTATAAAATTAATAAACAAAAACTCTTTGATAATTTATTCGGAAATCAAACTTTAAATAACATTTGCGGC